GCTGGTCTCAAGTCACAAATATCTTTCTTCCACTGATTTTGCTGTCATGGATGTTTTCCCTATAATTTCTTCTGTGAGGACTCTGAGCTAAAAAAGAAAAATGCTGTGGTACGTTTGATGGTACTTTTTCTTTCAGAGAATTTAATAATTTTTTTCGTGAGAGCCAAATTTATTTCTCAGATGGCGGATTTGCTTTCATTTCAGATGGCAGTTGGCCCTCCCAATTTTCCAAATGCCCTCATCTTTATATCCTTGATGACCTATTAATTTCTTTACAATTTGTGTGGTTCTAGGTTGTCAACACCATCAGATTTAAATTTGATACATTTTTAGTATCTAAGGGCTTGATTTAAATTGATTGGCTAAATTTGAAAAGACTTGTTGTCTTGGTAAAAATGCTGCTTGGCTGTTTGAAACAACGTTTTAACTTTGGTGCTGTCTGTGTACGTGCACTTGAAGCTGCTGTTCTGACACCCATTTTTACTCTAAGCACTGGAGAAACATAATCTTTTAAAGGGACAATGCAATGCTTTCCCCCATTTTACAATTTCAAAATTTTACACACACCAACTTTGCAACACTACCAATTGTACTAAAGTATCAGTTGCCTGATCTTGAATAACTGAATAGGGAGATACCAGATAGTTTACCACCCACTGAAGCAGGTTTAAGGGTGTGCAAACTGCTATCTAAATGTAACATGCTTTATCTGTCCGCAACTTTGAACAGAATCACACAAAACAGAGAGAGGCCATTCAATCCATCATTTCTGTGTCAGAATAGTCGACACGTTTTCTTGAATACAACATTGTGAATTTCTTTGCCAATTGTTAAAACTTATGTACTGTAGCGAACCTTTACAGTGACTGAGATGTAAGAGCCTGAGATCACAGTCATCTAATTGTTGACTGGTATCCTTAGCAGTAACGAAGTTTGTGGATATCTTTGAAGTTTCAGTGAATGGTTTTTTTCTCAGTTTACTTCTTCACCAGGTACATTCTTTCCAACATGATGAGAAAAACAGGCAGAGAGAGAGAGAAAGAGAGAAAGAGAGCCTTCCAGTTATTTCTTATAAATTAATTTCCTTCTCTCTGCTGCTGCTCAAAGTCAGGTATTGAAATATAGTTCAATGTGTCTTCCTGAGGCTAGCTTCATTATCTTTCCAGGCAAACTAGCAGACCGGCAAACCTTTCATCTTCCAACATGTGAGATTATACAATGCAAATGTGAATTAAACACCAATTAATTTGCCTGGTTTTGATATCTAGGTAAAAATGGTCTTCGCGTTGCAAATGGATTTATTTACTCTACGAGTCTCATAAAGTGAGCCACAACTTATAGTCAGGTGATCATTTTAGTCCATTCCTTTTTAAAACTGTTTCAGTCCATGAAAAGTCTTGGTTTAATAGAGACATAGAAGATAGTAGAAGGAGGAGGCCATTCGGCCCTTTGAGCCTGCTCCACCATTCATCACGATCATGGCTGATCGTCCAACTCAATACCCTAATCCTGCTTTCTCCCCATAACCTTTGATCCCATTTGCCCAAAAGCTATATCTCGTCGCTCTATCTAATGATCAGGTGAAAGAAGTTAAAATTCAGTAGTCCATATTTATCATCATGGATTAGAATAGCCTCAAATATTAAGACTGTTATGCACAAGTTCTCAGTGTTGAATATTGTTTGCAATGAATGTGGATGTGTGCTTCTGTACATAACTGGTTGCTAGGGATTTACCTCAGTAAGTGTTTGTGATTGCTTCTATGTTCATTGACAAAGCTCGGTCACTGCTACTAGCAAAACTTAAAACCTGAACTGAGGGCGGGAGAATCACTAAGTTAGTCCATTGTTGTGTAAAACTTCCTTTAAACCCTTTTCTTGTTTGTTTGGAGCCACAGGTGTCAGTTGAAAGAAGACTCTTTCACTTCCTCAATCTGGTGGTCGAGATGGTTGAAGGTGCGTGTAGGAAATGGAAAGTGCAGAGGCTATGTGAGGGAAGAGAGTTGGAATGAAAAGGATTTGAGAGTCTCTGGCTCCTAACACTTGCTGGCGTTTGGTTTTGAGGTCAGAGGAAATGATCAATTTAGCTTTTCTATTCCACAATCTGGTAACCCAGAATAGGTCAGGGATGGAAGCCAAAAAGCTTCCAAACTACATAGGAAAGAATAAGGAAAGAAGTGATGAGAAAGGCACTGGCTAGTCTCTGGCCCACTGCAAGTCAATAATAACTGGGATCCAGTGTGTTCCTCTCCTTAAATATTGCCATTCTTACTTAATAAATAGCTAAAGGCATTCTCATGGTTTTCCTTTTCCCTGACATTTGAATTCATGGTGCACAATTGTGTACTTTTCTGGTGGATATTTCAGCCTTATATGGGTACGCACATCCTTTTGAGTTGATAGTGCTGGCTTTCTGTGAAAGGGTGGGGAGGAGGAAGCAGGTTTCTTTTATGTATAACAGATTTTTGACGAACTTGGCCGGGGTAAAGATCACTCCAAGCCCCATTCATTTTGCATATGTTCCATTCATCATTACAGACGTGAGTAATTCAAGTCTTTGACAGAGTGACATGCAAGCAGCGAACATCAGAATGGAACTGACTGAATTGCTGGACAGAGAGCCAGCACAGACTCTGCCTGAATGGCCTCCTTCTCAGCCATCAGATCTATGCTGCATTTGCACTCATTGAAGTCCAGACAGAACTGTTGCTCAAACGCCAGCAAGTTTCACATGAACTAAAAGGATAATAAATATATATGCTTAATTGCTCAACTTCTATATCGAAAAAAGTGTGGTGGGGAAGTGTTCCCTGATTTTGTATTTGCAGAGCACGTCTCAGAAGCAAGATGTTGTGTATGCTTGCTGTGTTTAGGACACACTGCAGTTATTGGTTGAGTAAGTGTTTAAGCAGTTGGGTGAAATATTGATTAACCGCACTGCTTTGCGCTGGATGGTGTCAAGAGGCTTGAGTGTTGTTCAGCTGAACCCATCTGGGCGAGTGCAGGGTGTTCCATCTCACTCCTGTCCAGTGCCTTGTAGGTGGTAGAGAGGTGAACCATTTGCCTCAGAATTCCCAGCCTCCAGCCTAACATAGAGATTCTTACAGTTTTACGACATCTTTATCACTTTAGCCATGCCAAATTAGAACATGAGACATAGTGAGAGTTTGGATATTTATTATATTTCAAAAATTAATTGTTCATTGCCATTACTGAATCCTTTCTCTTAACTCTGCTATTAAATGCTAGATTGAGATAATATTTGCTACTTGAATGAAATATTTTGAGAACTTTATTGGGGAAAATGGCTTTTTTTCATCCAAATATTTCCGATAGAGCTGCCTGAAATAATACAAATAATCTTTAACTCAACTTGCAGAATGAAAACAATAGAACAGTAGAGTTTCAATTAGAAAGTGTTAAACTCCTAAGGTACATTTATTTTTTAATTTTTATTTCAATTTTATTTCAATTAGATGTGTTTATTTCAATTAGAAAGAGCTAAGCTCCTAAGTAAAGATATTTTTATTCTGCTAGTATGCTGCAAATCATTTCAATTTATCAGTTGGCAATACAGGTACAAAATTTTGCAAGGACTTGATTTTTTAAAAAAATGCAGTTTTGAATCTACAAAGAAATGAATAGATGCTTAATTGTGGTTTTTGCTTTAAGCAGCTGCTTTGGATTTGTTAATAGCATTGCTTTACAATGTGTGCAGTGTTCCTATATTAGCTTGCATACTTTTAATTAATGCAGTGTTCAGGTCCAAAGCATAATTCTAGTCTGTACATAAATAATGAACAGCTTAAACACAGGTACTTATGAAGGTCCTGATTCTGGCTATACGGGTTGAAGATACAACTTCCATTTCAAGCAGCAAGAATGCTAACCTAGAAGTCCTTCTGTTTCACCTGCATATTGTTGAACCTTAATCACTAACCATGATCTAACAATTCTCTCCTGTTGTCTTGCAGGACTAGTGGTGGGAAGTACTGAATGAAACACAATCGAGTGTTAGTTCTCAGAGTCATATGAGTGATGTTTAAAAATATCTTTTCTTAACTTCAAAAATGACTGATGGCGTAGGAAATGTTTGCATTTTACAAGATGTTCACAGCAAGTAAATTGTCCAAATTGTTGCAAACAGCTGTTCTACCGCAATCAGTCTTGTCTATCTTGAATCATCAATTTTTGGCATGGATTTTGGGATCAGTTGCAAAATGATAGCTCTCACTGCTGACCTTGATGACAACTGCCCAATTTCTGGTAATCTCTGGCATGAATTTTACCTTTACTGACTTCAGGTTGAATCAGGCCCGAGGTCAAGGAGATTGCCAATCTTCCAACAGTAGAGATGTTATCAAGCTGGGTAAGTTGCCAATCACATTAAAGAATTCTCATAGATAGCACACTGAGAAGTAAATGCACCAAATGCAAATATATTGGGACATACGTGTCAGAAGTTGAAATAATATAAACAAATCATTTGCAAAAAATTGTTTACAGAAATTGTTATCATAATGAAAAAACCTGATGTCACACAAATGTAAAATTAGTTTTCCAGGGCCAGAAAGGTTATTCAATTGTTATGACTTTTTACCCCATTCAAGGCAAAGTTCTACTCATTAACAAGCTGTCATTTTTTTTTCAGGGGTTTTTAACAATGTTTTACAGCTAAATGGGGAACTTCATCAGTTCAGTGATTTCTAAAGGCCCATGGGGTCTTGCAACAGCTCATGCTATGGAATCAGTGACAGCAAACTTTGGATTTCTGCATTTACCAGATGTTGCTGTCAGTTTCACAGGTGTAACGACACTGAATGTTGAAAATGTTGCTGTTATTACAATGGCATCAATTTGGGCCACTGTGTGCTCTATATACTCACTTGCCCTGTTTGCTTTGGCTCACAATGTGAATGTTATTTTATCTTTTGAACTATGCTCAAGAAATAGTTCTGCATCATTTCCTCACTGAGGATTGACCAACCAGAAGCTGCATAATTAAAAGTGACATTACTTTTATTTAAATGTATGTAAAAGTATTACAAAAAGAATTGCAGAATAGTCTACACCACGTACTGATAGTGATAGAAGTGAACTAGTTTAGACATGGCAAAGAGGAAGCAAAAAATGGACTCTGCTCTGAGGCTGAAAAGCACAGAAGCCTAGATGGCATATCTGATGCCAACACACTTGCATCATATCACTAAGTAAAATTCTCTAGATTTTATCCACACAAAATAAGCTGGACTTGTCCTGTAAATATTATTGAAAGAGTGGATAACAGCTAATGATAGCTTTAAAATCTAGATACAGCTCATTAGATAGAAGTTCAGTAATAAAAAAAAAGTTTGGCTTACTGAAGCATGTTTTCCAGATGCTGCTTTATTGGCCATAATAAAAACACACAAAGTTCTAATCCTAATGCACATGATCACCAACTCACAAATAAATTTTAATCATGATCAGCCATGATCGAATGGTGGGGCAAACTTGATGGGCTGAATGGCCTAATTCTGCTCCCAATAGCTAATGTTTATAAAGTTTAGAGTTTCCAACTAAATACCTGAAAGCTGATCACACAGAATATTCCATAGGACAAGACAATATGTAAATCACTGCTAAAATAATATCTGTTGCTGTAATTTAGGTAAAGTCTAGGTACATAGTGTCAAGTCCCGATAAGGCAGAAATGAATTAAATTTCATTACAATACTGCTACTTGAGTAATTGCCTACAAAGACATTATGTCTTGTGCACAGGCACGGTGGAAATATGCTAAATAAATGAAAAGAGAAGTAGACTTGTTTCTTTCTAAATTAACGTTAGTAAAACTATCAACTTTTATTATTATTTATAGATCATTTATTTTTCTGTCCAGTTAAGCATATCTTGTTTGTGATCTTTATTGTGCCACACCCTGGCAGCAATATATCAAAACCTGTAGCATGTTCTGATTTTTGTTTGGTCTAAGCACAATCTCATGTATTTTACCTTTACATTATCGTAATTTATAAAGAGATAAGTGTATGAAATTAGAAAGTACATCCATAAATATATTTTTCTAAAGTAACATGGAACCATGAAGACTTTATAATTTCTTTTTCACTGGACCAAACAACAGAGCTTAACCATCCTACAATTGCTGGAAGCTAATCTAACAGTATCAGTCTTTACAGTGCTGCTAACTTCAAATGGCTCAATTATATTCCATTAATAATTCCGCTTTCTTGAAATCTTCACTGTGGTGTTTCATTTTTTTAAAACAATATTCAAGCAGGATTGTGAGATAATTGTTCTTTTGTAAATTTCCATCCAGTTTAACATGTTCAGGTGCTTGATGTCCATCCATGCATCTGCTTCACTATCTGATGCATGTAACTAATGTCAGGTCGAAGATCTGGTTCAGCATTGATGCACATGATCACCAACTCTCTTAACTAAAGAATGAGAAAAATACAGTTTGTTAGACAAAAGTATAGCACGTTGCTTTATAACATTATATTTTTCATCAAAGAAATTGCAACACAATTCATCTTCATCATCTGTTAGTGGGAGTGCTGCTTTTTAACTAAATACTGTGAACATTATGAGATATTTGGCACCATGGTTTTATTGGGAATATAGCCCAGAGCTGAGTGAATTTCTTAGTAAGCACTGCAGCAAGGGAGACTGATGTCCTACCCTCTAGGGGACAAAGGACAGGGGTACCAGCTCATCATCTTCGGCAGCATGAAGATACATGAGGTGAGAATAGAATGACAACCAACGGCAGTGTAAGCAGTTTTTGAAACTTATGGCACCTATATGCAGTCGCAATGAAAAACTACCACATAAAGCATCATTAACTATGCAAAATGCTGACTCCTCTATCCAGTCTAGAGCTTGCACAGTGAAATATAATTATGATTTTTGGATGCAATCTACAATTTGTGAAAATGCTCCTCGAAATTCAGATCTGTGAGAAATCTACAAATTCTTTGGCTGTCATGTTGAATTGCATCATCTGATTTAAACCAGTGATTATGTAACAGAACTACTCTAAACCACTTGTGAAACTGTTCCTTGTCAACACTTTCTAATTAATGTTAAAATCAAGAAAATGCTTAAAATTGCTTTCTAGATGTGATTGATTACTTCAGTTTTAAATAATTAATGGGGAAATCTTTACAATTTAACCTGACTAATTAGGCACACACATATGAACCAGCAGTCCTTGAGAATGAAGTGAAATCCTTTACCTTCACAAAAACCCTCAGTCCAAATCAGTAATCCTGGTGTTAAAAATAGTAGCCCAGTGAAGACTGAAGTTTTTAAGTAAGGTTGTTTAGATCCAAATTGTACATATTTCATCAAGGGATGTGCTACAGTGTAGGGAATGGTATTATATCATTCTGTGCATCTTATACTTTGTTCTACAGTAATGCACAACCACATCACAGCAGTCTTACCATTACTGCCAAACAAGGACACACAAAATAACACTTCACACATACTTACATATATCTTCCACCCTTTTGTGAAATAATCAGAGTTACTTGGGAATATTCAATTTGCTGAAACATAGTTTATGTGATCTTCAAAAAAGCAGGTTGGTTCAATTATCTTTTAGTTTAGTTTCATAATATGTTTCTATGATTTTTAACCCATGATGGAAAACAGAAAATAGTTCACTTACTATAAAAGGCAGCCCAATTTTACTGAAAGTGTTGTGCAGTAAATGAGCTCGTATACTGCCTCCTGAGGAGATCTGCTGCACCCCAATGATAAATAAACTTACTATTTGGCAGCTAAGTTGATTACTTGTTGGTAGGCTCAGTGCCTATCTGTGTGATCTGACAGTGAAGTTTCACAGTGATTTGGAAAAGTCATTATAAGTTGAAATAAACTGTACGAGTGCAAATTTGCACATGTCCATTTATTTTCCACTGTCCTAGATGATGCAGGATCCTGCTCCACCTGAGGACCACTGTTACCATCCCTACAGGAATACTGCTGGATTGCACATGATTCTAGATTGAAGCCTTGAATACAATTCCTTTGATCTGTATATATGACAAATGTAATGAATTCGGCACCTGCCAGGCATCAAGAATTTGTTCATTATGAAAGAAACTCAGTACACAAAGTTGTTTCTCAAATCCTAAGTCAAGCTATGTCTGTGTAATTTAGTAACTGAAGGCTCCTCTTTAGGAATACATCACCATTCATCTTTATCTTTGTTAGTTGAGGACAAAGATAAGATTTATATATGACACAGATAGTTGCCACATTTATTCGGAGTTACAAACTTGTTAACAGGCCAGCAAAGAATAATAACAAACGGAGTGTGTTTTGGACCAGAATTCAGCTCTAAGAATGTCTTATGGCCATATCTTCATCAAACTCATCAGTAAAGTTAACTTAATTATCTATATTTTTCTTGCTGCATATTTTAAATAAAGACGAGTGGAGATGTATTAATATTATGTTTATTTTCCTTCAATGGGTTAATTGGAGTGGATTTCTGTAAGTTTCAGTCACTGCCTGGGAATTAGGATCACCTATGTGGGAATGCAGTACGGAAAGTCTTTTGGAAAGAACTGTACATTCTTGCAGAATCACTGCGTTTTCCTTCTCTTGATTTCACTGGGAGGAAATTCCACCCAATTCTGCTATCAGCAGTGATTCTTCTGATTGTTTCACACAAACGATGCCAGTTAAGAGGCTGATGCCAGGATCCCAGCCTATTAACGATGACTGCCTGCCTCCAGCGCAATCAAACGGAAGGAAGCTCAGCAGTGGCACCATGAGTAGTGGATGTTGCTGAGGCTGCAGCTCCAAGGATACAGCCCCTCGGTGACGGGACACGCTCACTGACAGGTGAATTGTGTTGTGGACAGCAGGGCAAGGCAGCCAGGCCCCTGCAATTGGGAGGTTTGTTAAGGGCCCCCAGTGGTACTGTTGTCACAAGGATGGGCCATTGTCACTGAGAGGGTCCTTCCACAGGCCATTGAATGGCCATACAAGAATCCACCTTAAAAGATTGAATATCTAACCCATGCTGTTTATTGTACTGAAGATATACAACTGTAAAAAAGATGTTGCTGTTTTGTAACTCAGTGTTAAAACTCTGAACTTCTGTTGATTGAGAACAAAGCAATGGTGCTTTAAAATAAAAAGGAAGAGCAGGTAAAAAAGAGGTGAAAAAAAGGAGCAGGGAACCTGCACAGCTGACTGCCTGTGCTGTTTAGTTTACAACTACAACATTTAAAAGGCATCTGGATGGGTAAACTAGGGTTTAGAAGGTTATGGATCAAATGCTGGCAAATGGGACTAGATTAATTTAGAATATCTGGTTGGCATGGGCAAGTTGGGCTGGAGGGTCTGTTTCTGTGTTGTACATCTCTTTCACTGTATGACTCTAACTATATAAATGCCACTGGGTTGTCCATGAGATTCATTTCAAAGCATGGACTAAACCTTCCTGTTGGTAATGGGCTAGGAGGTTGAAGCACGAGCAACATTGAGGGGAGAGACATTGGGAGGAAAGCCTGGTAATTCTCACTGCTATGCTACGCTGACATTGGTCAGTATGTTGACAGGAAACTGCAGGGACTGCCTCCATGTAAGGAGAAAGTCAATTTGGCAATTTTGCAGCATGTTCGGAGAGCTGGTGGCGGAGGGAGGGGTTTCTCTATGTGCATTCTATGATTCATGGAAGGACCCTCCCAGTGACAATAGCGCACCCTTGTGGCATCTGCACTGTTGGTACCCTCAATGAACCTCCTGATTGTTGGGGCCTGGCTGCTTTGCCCTGCTGGCCACAATGCAATTCACCTGTCAGCAAATATACCCGCCACTGAGGCATCCTCCTGCTAGAGCTGCAGCCTCAGCGATGTCCGCTGCTTGTGGTGGCACTGCTGAGTTGCTGGTCTTTTGGTTGTGCTGGCACTCATGGAGGTGGACAGTCATCATTAACACTGGCAATATGCTGCTGAGGGGCCTGCTGCCAGCTGATGAAGGGTCAGTTGCCACTTGCAGCTTCTGCAGAGGAACTTCAAGGTGGGTGGCAGAATTCAGCCCTATTGATCTGGTACCACTAGTTCACACAGTTCATTTTGAAACAATATAATCTACAGAAATGTTGCTGCAGCAACTAAAGAACCCAGTGGAAATACATGATTAATGATCATCATTCCTCTTTTTCAACAACTTAATTCATTTAATTTTTTTTTTAAACCAATGCATTATAATGTATCAGTGAGATAAAGCAGCTGCTTATAAATATATTTATGAAAATAAAAATAAAACCATGAACATGTTCACATTTTATTAACTATGGTAATAATTATTTACATTGAGCAGCTTCTTGAAAATGGAAGTATTTACATTTGTATTTTTAATATTGCACAACCTACTATCTTCACAACACAGATTTATCAAGTTATTCATTAATATTCATTCAGTTATTGAGGTACAGAACTGCAAGAAAATCACAAGCTGATATATTTCCAGTACATCCAATCCGATTTCAAGTTCAGTCAACCTTTGGTTACATGTCATTGCTAACAGTGGTTCAGTTTGCCAAAACTTGTATTTTGGAATCAGAAATTTTTCTCACATCCAGATCCATAATTGTGTGTTGCACTGTCCTGTAGCACTGCCAGAGGGAGACCGACAAGAATAGACAAAAGAGGGAGAAGACACATCTGCCCCTTATGCAGGAATTCCTCAGTTATTGGCAGACAAAAGTGTATTGAGAGCCGGACTGCTGAACTCTTGTGCAAGACTACATCAAAAACAGAAGTAACCATTTTATGGATCCAGCTGAAGTATAAAAGTAATTTACAGCAGCTCCGAATTGGACATGACTAGGTGGGGATCTACAACATAGTTAAAGGGCCTTATAGCATGCCTATGAATGGATTATTTCAGTTCATGAAATTAAGAAGAACCAAAAGACACAGCTTACTCCGTATCTGAGATAACAAGGTGTAGAGCTGGATGAACACAGCAGGCCAAGCAGTATCAGAGGAGCAGGAAAGCTGACGTTTCGGGTCTGGACCCTTCTTTC